GCTTTAATGGAATGAATACTATGCGGGGGGGGGGGTGGAAAATTAAAGAATAGGGTCCCTCTTTGACCACATCCTAGGTAGGTCACCGGCATTAATCCTGTTTCTCACACAGCTGGGTTTTGTTTATAAAGTTTGATCCCTCCTTTTCTCATCCAAATCACGTGGACCGTTACACACAGAAATAAAAGAAAGGTGGCAGATTTGCCCAAAGTCAGTAGGACTTGTACTGCAGGTTGACTTATTTATTATCATTGTTACAGTATTTCACCAACCGTTCCTTTTAATTCCTATGTGACAGCCAGGTCCGCGAGGTCACATTTTCCCTCCCGCAGGGGACCAGGGCTTACTAGGCTCACAGTCACCCTTACGATGAGTCCCTTCTGGTGTGGTGCCAGCCGAAGCTCACCTTACACCCGAGGGATGGATGCGGGGACACTGACCCGCTCCCCAAGATCCGCATAGACGGCCCACCTTGTAACTCTCATGGTCCTCCCTTGGCCCTTGAGGTCATGTGATCTGAAGGGTCTACGGAAGTGGGGCCTCGACACCCATGCCAGTAACTTCAGGGTGCGGGGGTGGGCTGAGGACAGGAGGAAAAGTGGAGAGGACACTGCCCAGTGCACAGAGAGGTGCAGAGGCTTTCCCCCTTCTCCTTCGGACCCCTCTGTAGTTACCCGTGTCCAAATCTTACATTTATTGGGAAATCGATACGCCCCGGGGGTCCTCTTTCAAACCTCCCAGGAAACACAATGGGGGAGGGGCAGCTGTGGCCTGGGCCACAATACAGACCCCAGGACCTTTCTGGAAGACGAGAGGGGATTCGATGGGAGAAAAAGCTCAGGACACTGGTGCCCTTTGACTTCAAAGGCAAATAATAAAAAGGCAACAGTAAATCAATTAGTCCTGAGAAAGCACAATTTCCCTGGACAAGAAAGAGAGAGCGTTGCACGTGAATGCGACGTGGTGCTTAGAGCCCCTGCGCACGGGAAATATGACCCCCGGAGGCGTTGGGGACCCGTGCCAAATGCTCCTTTGGTCCTTTTTAATAAAGCATCTGTACATCAAGAAGATGATCTGATAAACAGTTTTCTTCTCTTCTTTTAGCGATTCAATCCAGCTTTTAAAATCCCGTTTTACAAAATTCAGGCCAATATATGCGCTGAGGCGCGGCTTGAAGTAAACTGAGGCTCGTCTTCAGCACGTCCTCGCCAGGCGGGGCCAGATCCCCTCCCGGCTGCAGCGAAGGACGTCAGGCTTTTACATGAAGTCGTGGTGGCACCACGTGGTCTACGGGCACTGATGGAATAAATCCGAGAGAGACCTACAAGGCAGGCTAGGGGCTAATCCGTCCCGTGCCGCCCCCCCGCCCCCCCCCCACCCCGACCCCTCAGGCTGCAGCGGGTCTCGGCACAGCACCGGGTCACC